AAAACAATCTAATCAGTCGATTGCTCCCTAAATGTAGGGAACGTTCTTTAAAAAAAAACGAGTTTGGAAACTAATTAAAAAATAAATTTGAGTCCTTAATTCAACGCGTTGACGTTTAAAAATTATAAAAATCAGCCTTCTCGAAAGTAAATTCGCGTATCAAAGTATTTCGTCACAGCGCCAGGAAATTATTTTGAGCTCTATAGCAGCTTGCTCAAACGCGATACGAGTCGTTCATAAAAAAAAAAAAGGAAAACAAGAATGTCAACTAACGTAAAGCATCGATAAACACGTTTTACAATATTTAAAGTCCAACGTCAGCTATAACAGGTCGAACGGAAGCTAGAAGAATCTACGTGTATGAGTTCCATTGGTGAAACTCGTCGAACACAGGAGTCACCGCAAGATTGCGAATTATTCGCGATGTCGTCCACGTTCGACGAGCTTCCCCTTTACAATTGCATCCGGATTATTCGTATTACAGTCAAGGCTTACGGCATAAAAATTCTTGCGCAGATGAAAAGTCGGCTGTTAGTGGTTTCGTCGTTGCGATTCGACACGCGAACGGCGAGAGAAAAAAAAAAGGAAGTACTATGATACAAATTATGGTTTTTCCTCGGGACAACAGTAACCCAGGTATCGTTCACACGGTGATGCAGAGCCATAACCAACGTCCGCTTCGCACGGATCGCATTCCATTGCCGACACAATTATTAATGCCTATGCCAGTATCAGTTTTACGATGATATATCGTTTCCTCTGTAAATTCACACATCAGAGGTACACGTTACTTACATATCGATATTCAATATTTACACGCAAGTGATATTTAGAACGCAAATAAAAATAGATAGTTTAAAATATTTTCTTTCTCTCACTCTCACGTTCTCTCTCTCTCTCTCTCTCTCGCTCTCTTTTTTACTCTCTTTCGTTAAGAGTTTTCTTACGTCTTGTTCTCATTGTAATAGCATACAAGACAAAAATCCATGCATTAAAGTTCGACAAAAGTTCCTTCGATAATATTTCGTTATGATAATATTCGCTTTAAATCCTAGAACGATTAGTAGTAGTAGTAATGTTGGTAATATTCGTTTCTCGAAAGAAGATGCGACGCGCCGCTAACTACATTTTTTTATTCCCTTCACGTGTAAATAGTAAAAGACCTAAAGTTCCTCGTTTCGAAGACGTTGGCACATTGGAATAGATTCTATGTGTTTTGTGTGTGTATGTGTATCGTTTCCCGTTATTTTTTTTTATCGTTTTTTCGAATTTTCGATTTAACACCGTGACAGTGTAATGGGTCGAGTACCCTGAAGAGATATGTTTATTATATCCAAACACTGCGCGCTTCATCCCCCGATTTGAGGCGACTGCCGATCATTAGAAAGCGTCTTTTTCTACACCATCGTCGGGAAAATTCGTTGATCGCTTTGGTCTCGCTTTAAAAAAAGGAACAAGAGAACAAACGAAAGAATTAAAATAAAATTCGCAACAACAGTCAAATTCACTTTGGTATCGTATCGATCTTTAAAAATCACCGAGCCTCGTGGCTCAACGCGCGTTTCTTTTTCTACAGAGTTTCCCGACGTAATTTCCTACGGTGCCGCTCGTTATAATCCAATTATTCGATGATGGATCAGCAGTCGTTCGATCGATCGCGGGGGATCACCGACAGCATCCGATTTAATCTTCTCGGTATAATAGAGACTCGTCTCGGCTTTTTTCATTTTTCTTACAATTAACTTACACAACACCGAACATCGATCTAATTCCGTATACTTTTTTTGTTTTCTTCATATACCTCTAATATTTTCGTTCTAGTATACCCCAACTGAAGGACATCACAGAATTTCCCGATAATAATTAACCAATTAATTTCCTCTCGCTACAAATGCGACATATCTGCACACACGCCGGCAATCATAATGTGGAACGTTTCGCTTGACATTTGTCGTTATTCCTCGATTTCTTTCTACCCCCCATCCCCCCGCCCCTTCGTGTCCGCGTTCCTTGTTCCCCTTTCGTTTTGTAGCGCCGAAATATACTCGTACTTTGATGCTTCTCCGCGTTCGACATAGCGTATCACAGAATTATAAAACGTTTCCAAAATGACTAGGATAATTTTCACTAACGAATTCTACCTTTAGGCTTTTCCCAAGTCGAAAACAAATTTTCGGAAAGCAAAGATGTCCACACGCGCGTGCCATAAGTCCCGGCCCTCCCCATATTGCGGAAGGAACGTTCTCCCACTCGTTTCTTTTTTTTTCTTTTTCCACATTATGCTTTGGCCGGCCGCGGGAAAGAAGTTTAATTTTCGTTCCTTTTATATCTACGAATGTATACGCAATATGTTAAAAACCTCCCGCCATCGGAAGACACCTAAATCTAAAATCGTATAATTTTTTTTCTTTTCATTCACGGTATACTTGTCGTTCTCGCGAAGATATGTTTGGAAAAATTGTTCTCTCGTCCTCCTGTTTCCGCGATTTCTCATTATATAATCCCTTTTGTTTCCCACTTCCCTTCTACTCTCCGTGCCCGCCGACGTTAAAACTCGAGAAGACGCACACGATTCGCTCTATCTCGCTTTTCAAATACTTTTCCCCCCGTTTCTTTTTCTCTCCATTAAACACCGACTGCTACGGAACCTAAGAATTAGACGAAGACGTAATTTCTTTTATTCATTTTCCCCTCAAACAATTTGTACTTGATCGTTAGTTAATGATGGCATTTCCTTTCTTTCCTTCCTCTGTGTTTTGTCTCTTTGTAACCCCCACCCCCTTAAGATAAAACATCAACTTTGTATCTTTTCTTTTTTTTTTTTACACTGAGCTCTAAACCTGAATATGTTGCGCGACGAACAATTTTATAGGGCGTTCCTCTTTTACCTTGTACGTTCACTAAGCATGGATGTACTCGAAAATTTCAAAGAACAAGGCAGTGTGTGCGATGATCTCTCGGCGCGCCCGTTTCTTTTCCCCACATCCTAACCCCTGAAATTCTCAGTTTTCCCGAAGAATATTCGAAACGAGCATTCGATCGTTTTTTCTTTGGCCTAATCGGATCTCACTATCCCCCTTCATTCGTTCATTCTTTTTTTCCATGCTGTTCGAACGATCGCGATGAAACATACAGAGAAAACGAAATGTAGATCGCGAGACGCAAAGAAATTCATCGGTCGGAAACGAGGGTGTCACGCCCCAGGGACGGTCTCGAGTCATAATTTACCCCTTACTCGTAATATTGCACACATTCGCCAATGAGACGCATTAATTAACAACCGTACCCGCGTTGTATTCGATTTGGGACGAAAACTGAGGACGCGAGAGACCCACCGCCCTGCCCGCCGTTGTCTACCTACGTCTCGAACTACTTCATGTTTCTTTCGTTTCTCCCCTCACGTTTTATTTCTCTTCCCATCTTTTTCCCGCACTTATAAAACCTGAACAAGAGAATATCATCGTTATCAATTATCGTATGAATATTATATATGTATATATATATATATATATACACATATATATATATACATTTACAGCTCAAAATATTACTTTTAAAGAGTTAAAAATATAGTCTGTGTAATTTGCGCGCATGACGGATCTGTACACGTGTAAGAGCCCATATAACTTCTACTTGCACTTTTCTACGCTCTTTCTCCCACTCTGTTCTCATCGTCTGTTCCTTTGTCTCCGCATAATATCACCCTCTATACTCTTCCCTAATTCGATTCCACAAACCACCCACACTCGACGTTCCCAAATCGTTCCCGCCCATCCCTACGTCGTTTCATTTCCTCTCTCCCAATTCCGGAAATTTGAGCACATATTCGTAGACTTTGTAGTTGAATTTCACTTAGGCCTAAGATTCTCGATTTACACGATCCCCCCTAACCGTCCGAATACTTACGCGACTGTATAATATGTATATGTAACCTTTTACCTCTATTCGCGAGCAGAATAAATTCCGTCGACAAGAACGTACACCACACGTGTACCGCGCGTGACATATATGTACAATACGAGATGCGTCGATTCCTTTCTGATACGGTTTCACAATTGCATTTACTTCTCCCTTTATATCTTTCTTCATCGTGCACGCGTCAATCCGTGGTTCCCGGCCGAAATCCGTCCTGTTAAACGATCGAATGGGCCTTTGTTGTCTACTGCTTGTATTCCGTTAGCATGATGAATTGACACGATTCTTGGGACTGATTGAAACAATGACCGCGATCGGCGCGTGAACACGCCAAGCAAGAAGACTACTTTCGATGGAAACGAAATACTCGAACGAGGGTTCGATTACTTCGTTCAAGAACGTTTACATCTCAAGCATCGCGATCCCGTGCGAGTGCAGTTTCTTCGTAGAACAATCTTAAACCAATAGTCGCGTTTCAAGGCCTCGTCGAATCGGCTCGAGCCTCTCCGCCGTCGACACACACACACACAGCGAGGCTGGAAACCGACGCAATGGAATGTATTCTCAGCTCGCGGGTGTCACGGGAACCTTAAACGATTCACAAGAATTCTCACGAAATATTAAGGATCGCGTCTCAGTCGATTCTCTCTTCTCTGTTTCTTCTTTGGATTGATCGCAGTCTTGACTCGATGGAGAACTATAAAAACGACGACTACAACACGGAGGTGAACGGAAACCGTGATTACTCTGGCGGAAGAGTTTTCGTGTGGGTTCGGAGAGCCAATCGATCGTTTCGCCGACTATTGCGCGAGGACAACCACCACACCGTAACGTGGATCGACTTTGATCCGTGATCGGATGCTTCGAGCTCGGATCTAATGATAAACGCACGTCTCTCGATGCTCTTCTGACACGTTCGGATGCGCTTGGTCACGACCTGCCCTTGATCCGCGTACATTCACGAAGATAACGACGGCAGCGATGAACAGCGAAGAACCGAATTGATACGGGAAGACGATGACGACGATGAGAATGACGATACGGAGTGTCCGGGACGGGGTGACTGTAAGACGGTTCCGTCATTTTCATTGCGGCTGCTGTTGCTGCTGCTGATGCATCTGCGCCTGGTGCATACTGCCCAGAACCTTGATCCCCGTGGTCTTCAGCAGCTTCTTCAGCATGCCGCTCGAGCCACGATGCTGGAGACTCTTGTGCGTGGTTAGCGAGTTCTTGGTGCGGTACCTGCGGTTGCAGAACTCGCACACATTGGCTCGTTTATGCCGCCCGCCGTTGGCGGCGGCATCCGGTACATGGCAGAGGGAGGCGTCGACGGTGCTGGATGCATCCCGTTGCCCGTACCTGAAAACCGTCCGTCATTCGTCAGATAATTCTGCGACGAATCCGTCTGCGGTCGGTCGCCGCGAGAACAGTCCTTAGAAATACATCAGGAAAATGAATTGGACCAATTAGGTCCTCCAGTTCGAAGGATCGACGATAGTACGATCGATTTCTATGAGACTGTTCTCGCGGGAAACCGTAAACAGCACGTTACCGTAGGGTTTAATCTGCAAAAGGATAGGTAGTTTGATATTCGCGAAATCGAGGAGGAACGCATAATAGATCAGCCTCTGTCAGGAGTTTTGACGTTGGAACAACCGTCGGTGTATTAGTGTCTTATGTTGGAAGCTGAACGATTCTCGACCGAGGTTCCTCGTTCCAGTCTCGAGACGACCTCGGCGTATAATTCCACCCTGTCAACTGTCTCGGGATCGAACAAGGATCAATACAGGGTTAATATCTGCTTCTCTCCGCGAGCAATGCCGCTTCTTCATCGATCGATATCGGAGTGTGTCGAATCGTAAAGGATCCCCATTGCGACTTGATGTACGTGTCGTTAATTAACCAAGTTGTAATTAGTCGAGTGAGTAGAGATGAAGAGGACCAAAACCACCGTGCCAGACGCGTGTGTCGTGTGTCGAATCCAATGCAGATATGCTTTGGACTACGATACAATTTCTGAGAGTTAATCCAGAAGTGTTACTTGAACGTTTAAAAAAGTGCAAGGCTACAACAAAAGTCGTGCATGAAACGTGCCACGATTACTTGCCGCGATAAGAGTGTGCATTTCGGTTCCAGTGAAATTGTGTGCGTGCCAGGGGACATGCAGTCATGCTCTTCCGGTTAGTTGCTAAAAAAAGATCGATGCGCGGATAGATTTATTCAGCGACGAATGTGAAAGAGTAACCGTGTTTACCCGGATAGCGATAGAACGAAATTGAAGAGGACTTAAATTGTAAAGATGCGCAATAACGGGCTTGCGCGCGATCGCGCGTTGCACCGTGTCGTCATGCAGCGAGATGCGAGCGGATGCACAGCTCGAGGAACGATTCCGTTGACACGTGTCTTCGATCGACGGTTTAACGAACAATCGATTCAACGTTCTCGAAGCCGACGTCGTTCCATGGTTAAGCACCGCACACCGAAGCTGCGAAACGAGCATCAAAAACGACGATACACATCAGCATGCACACAACATCGAACATCGAAAAGCCACGACAGAGATATATAATTGAAACAATAACAAAAAAAAAAAAATGTAATAGAAAGGAAAATAGACAAGCAAAACGATAAATGAACAAAGAAAGTACGCAAGACGTAAATAATAGGGTGATTGCCACAAAACTTATCAACTGAAAGAAAAAAAAAGAAGGGAAGAGTTGTGAGGGGGGTGTTAGTGGGAAGGACCTGAAACGTAATCGTACACTCTCTGTTTTGGGTCTATCGACGAAACCCAAATAAAGTCGGAATACTCTCGTGATCATCGCACACACGTGTGAATCCCTTCGGTGGTACGATTCAACGATCTCTTCTGATGATCGATCGACGATTTCTCGCGGTTTACAGCGTCGCCACGAATGGCTGTACATACTCCACGCAGCGGAGATTGCGATCCCGAGTCACCGACAGGGAGGTACATATAACGGAGCCACGAATACCGGAAGAATTCGATCGGTGACCGTACGGTACACCGAAGAGAAACGAAGGACGACTGGAGGAGAAGGAAGGAGGAAGCAGAACCGCGGCCGGAGGACGGTGGAATGAACTTGACGACGCTGGAACGAAAGCTCGAGCTGCAAGAAGAAGAATAAGGGTCGTGTTCCACGTGGGAGTCGGGAGACCGGTTTCTCTGGCATGCACCGTGTGTGTCTCCGGGGAGAAGTGGGGACTGAGGGGAGAAGAGTACCGGAAAGCGGAAAAGGGAGGGAACCGTTGACGAGAGGAGCCGAGGTCGTTGCGTATAAACCAACGATTATGCCGCGATTGTGACCCGAGCCGCGAGCGTTCCAACGACGAATAGAGTTACAACACGGGTCGAACGAAACAGAGGTGTAAAAAGGTGTGTAGTATTACAAGGATGGTCAGAGAAGAGAGTAGGAAGCACCGATATATGTATATGTATCAAGAAGATAGAAAAAAAAAAACGCGAGAGAAACGCGCGCACACTATGAAAAGTGTGAGATTTTGAACAAGTTGTTGTTGGCGTGTGTGTCCCCTACCTTATCTAAACCTTCAAAAGAACTTAATGTCAATGTCGCCGGGTCTGCTCTTATGATAGGTATATATATGGGTCATCAGGGAGTTACGCGAGCAGTATACCCGCTCGCAGATGACGCATCTGTACTCCTCCTGTCGCGCGGCGTGCTTGTCGGCTACGTGGCGTTTCAAGGATGCTTTGCTGCATAGCTCCTTGTGGCACAGCTGGCAGCGGAACAGCTTCTTCGCTGACGGGGGGGTGTTCAGAGAGTTCAAGGTCAGCCCCGTCATAGAGGTGAGCACTGAAACACAACAATGCACCTCGTGCAGCTGCAACCCCCACACATAAACCCTATCCCATATCAAAGGGCGATGCAAGCGATAAACTCCTCTTCTCTTTCTCTCTCGTTCGTTCATTCTCTCTTTCGCTCTTTTTCTGTGTGCTCGTGCTCGTATTCTCCTAAACGTCGCGATAATTCCAACACAACAGGTACGGGAGGCTGAAAGAAGATGTCAGTTCGAAGCAGTCGCGATGGATTGGCATTTTCCCTAGCTGCGACAGAGATTTATAGGGTGAATTCTACCGTTATATCAAAGGCGGGACAAACCCCGAAACATTCTCCCCGAATCTTTTCTTCGATCGAGCATTTTCGCGTCGCGCGATTCACGCTCGTTTGCCCCTCATCTCGTCTCTCCCTTCGGCGGCCCCGTTATTGTCGCGTCTTTTCATATTATTCACAGAGTTCGCGTTCCCGTCGTCGAGCTGAAGACAGCCTCCTTACGTATCCACGCGAAAACCTTTCAACGATCGCATCCACGTACTCTCGCGATCGCGGTGCAATCTGTGTACTTTCCGCGTGGTCTCGCGCGCGCTCCCTTCCCCTCCAAACGTTTTGTAAAACGATGTATAAACGTGACGGGATTAAACGAGGCTACGATTCGTGGGAAATAAACGATTGAAAAAAAAAAAAAGAACGAAAAGAGCAACGGGGGCGTATTCGATACGCGGGCAACGTACTCGAGACCGCCCTCGGGAGAAAAGAGAAAAGAGGTACGAGGGGTAGGTTGGTTGGTTGCGGAAACTCTTTCGACGACGTTTCGAAATGTTTGGTCGCCTTTCGGGGGAGCGAAGTAAGAACTTTCAATGCCAGTCTTTTCTTCGAACCGCGCGCGCACGGAACCAAAGGCTGAAGGGTTAAGACGTACGAGGGTGGCGAGCAGCGGACGAGCGCGCGCTCGCGGGCACACGGAGAACAAGTGGAACGATTCCGTGCGTCTCAGACACGTCCGCCGCGACTCTATTTATGTGTGTGTATTCAACGACGGTGTATGCAATTGGAATAAAGAGATAGAGAACGGAACGAGCTGGTGGGCGGGTGAACGAGCGGGAACTGACGACCGAGTGAAAGAAAGGGAGTAACAGAGAAAGGGAAAACTAAGGGCTGCGGATGAAGAACGAAACGAAGCACGGATACGGACACGAGTTAAGCGTCAATAAGGAGTCGCGCACGCGGTTCATTTGTAATGGCCGCGTGGTGCTCGTTAATTAAAAAAAAAAAATAAATAAATAAAAGATCCGGTCAGACGCTGCTTTTTGTGTCTCGCGTTTACATACTACCTTACACATGTACGTGTGCACGAGCGCGTGCTAGTATATATGTACGTGTGCCAGTGTATAAAGCCCGTATCTTCTACCCTTTAGCCATCGGATCCGAATGAGGCGAGGCCACAACACCGTCGTTCGAAATGGCTTCCGGTAGAAAAAGCTTTTTATCCAATTTCTCAAGCCGCCTCGTGTCTCGTTAAACTACAGCCAAAAGAAATTGTGCAAACAGCCTTCTCGCTGATGAAGTCGACCGGTGGTTTCCGATGAAATTGTGAAATAGTCGTATATACACACGCATACTGACATTTGTACGTATATATATATATATATATGTATGTACATACACAGTCGCACACGTAAATAACGCTCGTATCCGAGCAACAGATAGAATGGGGGGGAACAATAAGGGAAACGTTTTGGAACGTGGATCAACGGATGAGGTGGTGGGGGAGGGAGTTATACAAAAATTATGCGTTCGTTTCCGACATGAACGCTCTCCCAATCATTCTAAGTATACACATGTTCGCTTCGTTAGGCGTCGCGAACGCGACCACGCGAAGTTCGACGAACGTAAGGATTTAACAAAAAAAAAATATTAAATAAATAATAAAAAAAAAAACTTATGAAAAGAAATGAAGGAGACGACGAGAAGGAAACACTGAGCATTCTGGGTGACACTTAAAGCATGCAATTCGAAGTAAACGTAATAATTATGCGTGAGCCTGGCGAGCGGCGTGGCGGCTTAATCGTTCTCTCTTTCTGCGTACCGCGAATGGCCCTCGTTTCTCTCACGGTCGATCTTGCTCTCAAACACGTATCGAAAGAGAGAGTCACGTATGGTCCTCTCGATCATTCCTTGCTTTTCATTTTCCCCGGGAACAGAAGAAGAAAAAAACGGGGGCAGGATTACATGTATCGTGCGCCCGTTTTCCATGAAATACCAAATAAACCCATTGTAACACACCCTCGTGGTTCTGCTGATTGTGAATCGTTCTTACTTCGATCTCTCCAAGCGACCACGCGCCTCATTGGAAGAAAAAAAAGTGAACGTAAAACACGAGCGTCGAGTATAATGAAATCGTGTCCGCGCGCAGTGGCTGCGATCGTTACCCGATTCATTGAATGATCGCCGCCGTCCGTGGGCCCACGAACGATGGTATTTCGAGCCGTGTCGTTTTTCCATCCGACGATCACGACGACACGAGCACTCGAGTTCATGTGTCTCGTTATCGACACGTAACTTACCTTCCAGCTGAAAGAAAGAAGGCGTGACACGCAACGTGCTCCAAGTACCGTTCAAAGGGCACAAGACTCGTGCACGCACGAGGAGGAAATACCGAACCAGTTATGCTGTAAAACGTTGTCACCATCGTTCTTTGTTTCTTTTTCTTATTTTCTGTTTGTTTCTTTTTCGAGGATGCGATAGGTCGTGTGTACTAAAAATGTAGAAGAAAGTAAAATGAAGAAATACAAAGCGAGTTATTAAACCAAATAGTACATTTCATGTTATATATATCTATATATATAAAAAGTTGAAAATATATTAAGATGCATTTGACATTGCTTAAAAATAAAAATCATAACTATATAATTATAATAATATAATAATATTAATAATAATAATAGTCAATAAATATATATTATAACCAGAACACCTTGGCAGATAACAAATAATAAGTAAGCACGGTAACGCTCGACATACTCGCTTAACGTGTGTTTGAAAACGATTTGTACCCGAAACGGAGTCGTTACCGGAAAAAAAAAAAGAGAAATTCAGACTTTTCATTTTTCCATGTTTCCCCCGACGTTTCGAAATGTCTCCAGCCGATGGCACCGGTATTCTTTTTCGTTTATTTACCTCAATACAATTTTTACATATCTGACGAATTTTCGAATTAAGCTCGTTTTGCTCTCAATATGCTTCGCTGCTTTCTTTCCCTTCATTCTCTCTCTCTCTCTCTCTCTCTCTCTCTTTCTCTCGCTCTCTCGCTCTCTTTCTCTCCCACTCTCTCGCTCTCTAACTTCCTCTCCTTCCTAACTCAGGATTACAAAATAATTCTATTCATCGGTATCGCGATATTTATTTTGTGTTTTTTTTCCATCGCACAGGTAATGATTATCGTCGATGGTATGTCTGCTCAGTATCCGTGGTTGATCAGTAATTTAACTCTATATCGTAGGGCAATTAAAACGGAATTACGGCTTACATTATTAAGATAGCTGTCGCACAAAACTGCTGCTGCTGCTGCTTGCTTTTCCGCCTGTACTTGTAAATAGCTGATTGCGTTTAAAGAACGGCAAACGAAACGTAATGAAAGTCACAACAATCAGAGATAAAAAGAGAACAACAGCGTATAAGATCCTATCGTCCTTATTGCGTAAGTCTACGGATTAATAATTACGAGAAACGAAATAAGAATACAAAGAGAAGACTTGCGTTCGTCTCTGTCTGCCTGTGTGTGTAATGTGTTGCGCGTAATGTAGCTATGTAATGTATAATACCTCTTACCCCTGACCATAAAATTAAACAATAGTAGTGTGCGCATGTATACGTGTGTGTGTCTGTGCGCTAAAAGCCTATCATTTAAACAAAAAGGAATACAAAAAATGGAAAAACAAAAACGAGATGCAAACGAAGAAAACGTGGGTAATGTCAGATAGTACAAAAGCGATAAAGAAAATAAAAACGTGTGCTGTACCAACAAATGAATCTCAACGCGTTGCGCCGATCCTGCTTTAAAACGATTATACAATATTATATGCGTTCGTCACATAAGATTCTACTTTTCCCCCTCTTCTGTTTCTCAGGTGATTCGAATCCCTGCGGTGCCCTGCCAATCTGATCGCGTTCGCGTGCTTTCTAACCGTGTTAACTTAGAAAATAGATACTTTTAATTAACATCGTTTGGTAACATCAGTCAAGAAACGTTTAAACATCAGTCCAATGTAGAGTCGACTAATTAGAACAATTAAAAAAAAAAAAAAGAAAAGAAAAAGAATAGATAAATCAGTCCAATTCAGTCTGACACCAAATCGTGTCGCGGATGGCGGCGGCTGACTATAATTGCAATCAGGTACGCGTCTCGAGCCATTTTCCCATCTAATATCGCTCCACTTTTCCCCCCCCATCCCACGAACAGTTTTTTTTTTTTTCATTTCTCTGTTTCTCGGTTCCCCGCCCTTTCGTGAACACTACGGGTCTCCCGTCCTCCCCTTCAGACGAAAGGAGCGTCAAACCCGCAGCCAGCCGCGGCACGTTCAATTCAACAATTCAGTCTTTCGATGTTCGAAACAGGCGTTTCGAACGGATTTATTTTGCACTGGCCAATTCGTAAAATTAGTTTAAGGGAGCACCCATAATCGCTCTCCTTGTCTTTGCGCGCGAATTTCGCAAGGCCAACTTACACAGAGCGCGAATTCCGAGAACGGCGTTTCAATATTCCCCGACGGAGTTGGCTGACACACTCGAGCCAACCGTGTCGGTATAATTATAAATTATCTAAGAGACAAAAAAAAAAAAAGAACACCGCGCGCGGTTCACGCGCGTCCCGCGATTTCATAACGCATTAACGGGTAGAGCGAAGTTACGAAAGAAAAAAAAATATACGAACGATAAAAACAAGAAAAAAGAATTGTAGATACTCAAATAAACCTCTACTAATATATAATTTGTAGTTAAATATTC